GCGTCAGTAATGGTCTTGAATTGTCCACTTCCGTCTTTCATGACCTTGATGACCTTTTGACCAGCCTCAGCCGTTGCAAGGGCAGGGTCAAGTGTGCCCCGCCGTGCTGTGTACGGCTTCACGTTGTTATTGAACCATGTGTTGACTTGGGATTGGTCCGCTAGTACTGGGGTATGATCATCCGCCATGGTTATGGTGGCAGTGAAGAGAATTAATGTCATGGTTAGAGCTGCATTGACGCCCATGCCTGTTTTTTTTTTGGCCATTTTTATTTTTATTTTTGTTGGGTTTTTGGTTTTGAGGTTTTGTATGTTTTTGGGTGCTATTGATTTAGAGTAGTAAAAGGATTTGCTTTTATAGTCCACTATGCAAGAGCTGCTTAAGGCACATATTTAGAGGGATTCATCCAAAATTTGTGAGACGTGGAGAGCTTCTCGCACATTTTGGTTTCCAATTAGGGGCTAATGTTCGTTGGGATTTCAGATCCACACTTTGCATTAGTTGAATAACAGAAACCCACTAGCAGCTTAATTGGGAAGGAAGAGGACATAATTAAGAGAGTTTTGCTCAACCATCTCATGTAAAATCTCAATTATAGCCTTGAAAATTAAGGATATAGCACCATATAGTCACAAATTAGCAAAGGGTGGAGCCATAGTTAGACTAGGGTGGGCTCCACTCCAGTACAAATATCTACAAAAAAGAATTTAGTGTTATTTAGGAAGTCCAACTTATTTAGTGAAATTCACCTCATTCAGAAAAAATGTAGTCCACTGAAACTCAGTAACTCTTTTCATGAAATTTTTTTATAGAAAGAGATGCACTTGTCACTGAGACAATTAATCATCTTGATAGAGTGACAATACATTTATAAAAAAAAAAATCTGTCTTTAATTATTTTCATGATCATTTAGAAGTGAAGCAATTAAAAACCTAGCTCCATGTCACTTTATTGCACTTCCAGGACCGATTACAGGCTACATGGTTAGTCCATTTCAAAGTCGATGTCGAGTTGGAATTAGATAAGCTCTTGAACCTCTTCCAATCGTGAACCACAGCCGTCAGATCAACCATCTTAGCACCTAGAGTCCGGCAGCAATTGGCATGAACGGTTGTGACAGCTTTGAAGTCCCTGCTAACTTCACAGAAGCCACTGAAGTAACGGGTGTCCAAAAACCTCACGCTGAGGCCTAACTCTCTGAAAACACCTTCCTTCATCGTGCCATTTAAAACATCCCGCTCTTTCAATTTGGTTGAGTAGTTTTTCTGGGCATACCACTTTTCGAATAAGGAGATTGTTCTGTTGTTAGATCTCACCATGTAGAAACCTGTGTTGATGGGGTTTGCTTCAGACAATTGATCACCATTGAAGCTATCGGTGCTGATTTGAAGATCTATGCCTTCGTTGAAGTATGAAATGAGTTCATATAGATAAGAAGTATGAAACGAGAAATCAAGCCTCGTGTGTCTTCTCCATGCCAGAACCCATCTAAAAATAAATCAAGCATTGGCTTATCTCCTTCTACGTACTCTTTATTTACAATCGCAATTATCAGAGTCTCGTAAGTTCCCATGCAAGCCTTATATAAAGCTTACTCAAGCTCATCTTCTTTGCTGTTTGTGTTGATCTATTAATTATTTCAAAAAAATTAATTAGAACAAATTAAAACAATTTAATAATAGATTAAACAAATTAAAACTTAATTACCTTGGTAAAGGGTTGGCATTGGTCTGTGGTCTGGTTGAATATACACAAAACTACTAAACTAGAAAATGGAAGGCATAATATGGCAATTTGAAAATTTTCCATGTCTTGGAGGTCTTAGCTAATACACTATTATAAGCGTTAATTTGATCATATTGTTGGAATAAAAAAAAATCACAAAAAAAAAAATATTGAAACGTGGGTTGGATAAGCCCCATGATTTTGATATTTGTTATTAGCCACATCTAACAAGCAGAAAGTTGAGGGTAGAGAAGTGGAGGTCTAAACCAATGAAAACTCTTAAGAGAGGTTAGTGGCTCCTATTTTTGGGGGGGGTTGATTATTCAGTTTTCATACACTAAGAAGGCCCTTGGTTATAAAAGGGACAGCAGTAAAAAAAAAAGGAGAAAAAAGAAACGACAGGAAAAAGAAACAACAGAAGAAGAAAACTGCTGCAGGAGAAAAATTGCAAGAGCATAAGCACAAGAATACTTTTCACAGGTACATGGATTCTTTCAATTAATGCTTGTTGGGTGGCAACCCTTAAATCATTGTGTTGGATAATAAATCCATAATGGGTGGCAACCCTCAAATCAAACTCATGGATGATATCCATGATGGGTGGCAACCCTTAAATCATTTTGTTGGATAATAAATCCATAATGGGTGGCAACCCT